TGAGTAGGTTGCTTCGCCTCCATAGAATGAGGCCAAAACCTACACCCAACTCCCAGAGCTACAGTGAGGATTGAAGGAGAAAGTGTGTGTCAGGCCTGCTGTCCTCACAGTGCTGGCCCACGACGTTCTTGGGAAGAGCTGTGTTTCCCTGCCCCCTCCCTCGGCCCAGCCTCACTGCCCCCCAGCACCTGTGAGGTGTGAGGGGTGAGGAATGTGGTCCTGTCTACAAAGTTTAGAGAGCTCACAAGTTCATGGTTGAACTGGGACAAGAGCTCAGAGCTCCCAACTCCAACTCAGACTCCAGCCCAGGGCCATCTGTCAGCCGCAGCTCCCAGCTCAGGGCCGGGAGCAGCCACTCGCTCTGGCGCTTTCTAACACCCACACGGAGCCCATGTAGGATGGAGGTGGGGACAAGGAGAAATCAGGTTCTATTCTCAAAACCTCACAGTCTAGGGGTAAAGACTCCTCATCAGCCCCAATATGTGATGAAATGGGCCTTTTCACAGGTGGAAAAGGGCCTGGGGAGGGCAGAGGCCCAGGAGCTGAGGCATAAGGAACACTGTGTGTCGGTGGTGGCTGGAGTGGAGGCTGGGAAGGCCCTGGAGGCTGGCGGGGACAAGGCGCTCTCCTCCTCGTCCCTGTGGTCATGTTTCCCAACAACAGCTCCTATATTTCCTGTATTTCCTCTATCTGCAGGGCACACTGCAGGCCTTGAGCCTCTTTACCTGGATGTCCTCCCCACGTTGACTCACAGCCTCCCTTTCATTACCACCAGCTCTCAGGGCTCCTCAGACCTGAGCTACTTGATGCTTAATCACTGAGCCACGCCAGTCCGGCTCAAGCATGTATTTTAAAAACAAACAGCACGTGTCTCTACATTGCACACTCCAGGCAGGCCCAGATCTCAAGTCCCAAAGCATGTGTCTGTCTCCTCTCCCCAGTTCAGTGGCCTAGGGATGGAAGGCATGGCTATTCACCGCAACTCACCCCAACCAAATAGCACTGCACTGTTTGCACTGCGCTCTCAGAAACCGGTCTCACTTGCCTCCTTGCGCACACAGCTCTGAAGTTGGGATTACTATTCCCCATTGTACAGAGGAAGAAACTGAGGCCTAAAGAGCTCAGTGACTTACTCTGTCCCCATGGCCACAAAGTGGCAAAATCCGGTCCGGGACCCTGCTCTTGTTCCACTCAGACTCAGATCCTTGGGCAGCCTCAGCTTGGGAAGGGAAAGGTCCTGGATATACTAGAGTGGGCATGTTCACCCCACTTGGAGGAGTAATTCACTGTCCGAGCCCCAATTTTCTGACTTCTGGGATGGGGATGAAACTACCTAGCAGTGCTAATTTACAGGGCTGGGTGGCGGTTAAAGGAGAGGTTGCATGAGAAAAAGCACCTACTGGGTGCTGTTAGGTCCCATCAGACCTGCAAACAGTAGGACTCAACAAATTCTGACTTAGTACTGAAATGAGCAGTAATCCTCACCCAGCATTTCTAACAGCAGGGCATAGCATTAGGCAAGAATGGATTAAGAAATTCAAGAGGATTACTTAATAATCAGCTAAATGATCTAAGTAGCCTGGGAAAAGTCTAGGACCAGACTGTTCATGTAATTTGTTCAACCAATGATTGTTGAACACTGAGCTGAGCTGGAATGGTGATGGTGATGATGACGGTGGTGGTGGTGATGGTGATGATTATAGCAGCTGCTCTCAATTATTAAGAATCTACCATGTACCAGGTACTTTATAGAGAATCTTATTATATCAACCTATAAGGTTGATATTCCCTAGAAAGCATTTATTTTTTCTAATAGGGAGGTGCTAGTTAGGACAAGGGGGAGGCAAACAAGGCAGCCACAGCACAAGTTTAAGGAGGCACTTGTTATGACTCTAATGAGACCTGCCTTACCCTAGTCCAGTGATGGCGAACCTATGACACGCGTGTCAGAGGTGACACGCGATCTCATTTTTTTGGTTGGATTTTCTTTGTTAAATGGCATTTAAATATATAAAATAAATATCAAAAATATAAGTCTTTGTTTTACTGTGGTTGCCAATATAAAAAAATTTCTATATGTGACACGGCACCAGAGTTAAGTTAGGGTTTTTCAAAATGCTGACACGCCGAGCTCAAAAGGTTCGCCATCACTGCCCTAGTCCCTAGCCCTTGCTTGTGCTGGACACTACGATGTGCCTCCCAGGCCCAAAGACCCAGCCAAGGTATGAGAGTGAGATCAACAGGACTGAGGGAGGCAGGCTGCTTTAAGGAGGTGGCCCCAGGGAAGAGGTGAGAACTACCTGTTGAATCCACAGGAAGCTGGTGTGAGTACAGGCATGCCCCGATTTATGACACTTTGCTTTCTTGCATTTCATAGATGTTACATTTTTTACAAATGGAAGGCAAGCAAAACGATTACGACTCCCTTTATTGCAGTGATCTACTGGACCTGCAGTATGCCTGTACAGTAGGAGAACCAAGGCTCAGAGGTAAGTTGACTTGCTTGAGGTCAGGCAGCTAGTACGAGCTGCTTCTGGAGCTGGACCCTGAGGCTGCCAGAATATAAGCCTCTACATCAAGCACGTCCAACTCAAAGGCTAACTAACACGGGCCAAATAGACAAGGTTTAAGTTTATGTGGGCCACAAAAACACAAAAACTTCCATTTTCAAAGAAACATAGGTTTATTTCGATAGAAACGTGCTGAATACGAAGGGCTGAAATAAATGAGTAATCGTTAACATAAAATAATAGAACATTTTAATAAAAATTAATATTTTTCTTAAACATTAACTTACCAGACACTGAATAACTGCACAAATTGATAAGCGTAACGCAAATAAACCAATTTTTCTTGTTCTCCGAAAGCGAAATATTTCCTGTTGCGCACACCAAACAAGTCAGTCCAAGACTAATGACGTGGCAACTGGCTGCTAAAATATTCACTGCTAGTGTTATGGAGAGGAATGGCTGCGTGTAAGGCGCATAAGAGCAACGAATGCAACATGATTATAGTAATCAGTCATGAGCAAACAAACGTTGTAGTTCGTTATTAATAATTATGTATAACAGGATATTGCAAAAATCAAGTTACAAAATTTTTATTAAAGCATTTCTTACATACCGTTATATTGGTTGGGCAACAAAAATATTCGTTGTGGGCTGCAAGTTTGACATGATTGCTCTACATTCTGGCAGAGTCACTTCATCCTTCCCTCCAGCTGGGAGGGTCAGAACCCTCCATAGGTCAGGGATTTGGGGATCCAGGTGGTGGGCTGCTCCAGCCTTACCTTCTCCTCTTCCACGTGTCTGCTGTCCAACTTGTCAGCCGCCCTTTTGGGAGGGGAAGGAGGTGGGAAGTCACTCAGCAGCTAGACTCCCTCTTCTACCTCCCCTCTGAACTCTAGAAAGAGGCAGATGTTGGGTTTTCATTGGAATCCCTTCCATATGGAGAGGACTTGTTCTACTCAGGCTCAAGTCAAGAGGAGAGAACACAGTTTATCAATTGCTTATCAGCCCATCCGAAAATCTGCTGCTCACTTATTGTGAGGCTTAATGCCTTGTGAAATAGCAGGTGAGGGATATTAGCCCCATTTCACTAGTGGAGAAACTGAGGCCCAGAGAGAAGAGAATCAGAACAGTGTCTAGACCAGGGCTAGATCCCGCCCCCCACCCCCACCCCCACTGCAATCCAGCCCTCCAGCTTCCGTCTGGGGTCCTGGGCAAACACTGGCCTTTGTCAGCCCAGAGCTCAGGCCAGTCCCTTTCCAGAGGCTTCTCAACCCTTCCCCCCATCCTGTCCCAGAAAGCCCCATTATCTTAGGGGAGACCTTTATTCATTTGCCAAACACTCCTGTCACCCATACCTGAACTGCTGGCTCCAGAGCTGGCGCTGGCTGGCCTCCTTCCTGCCTCAGTCTCTCTTCCAGCCTTTTTTCCTACATGTTGGAAACACCTCAGGATCTTTCCAGAGTCAACAGCAGAGGGTGGCCAGGAGCTCACAATGGTGATCAGGACTGAGGCCAAATCCTGCCAGGCCTGAGCAAGCTCCATGTCCCTCATCTGTTGTTTGGGACTGTGCCTACATCACAATGTTGCTGCAAAGCCATTAGACCTTTTTGCTTCTAGACATGCCTCCTCTGTACATGCCCTGTACTCGCATACCTCCCTGCCTTAGAACGGGCTCTTCCCTTGCATGTCACCTCCTCCAAGTCCTCAAGATGTACTCATCCCTCTGTTCACCATATCAAATGTCACCACCTCCCTAAAGCTTGAACTGACCCCATGCCCAACCAGCTGAGACCATTCCCTCCTTTGAGTTTCCCTGCTGGAATGTCCTGTTTTCTAGTCCTTATCACACTCTTGTACCAACATGAGTTGATGTCTAGACCTATCATCTCCTAGTCCTACCTGAACTGTGACCCCATAAGGGCATGTAACAGTTGGCCCAGGGACTGGAATAAAGGTAGCACCAACTTGGAGAATAACCATCACTATCATTTATTGAGGTCTGCCTAAGTGTCAGGCATGCGCTGAAGGTCTCACATTGCATTTGATCCTCATAACCACCTGAGACTGGGGCCATCTCTCCCTGAGGACAAAGCCTCAGAAATCTAAATGTATGGACAAGAGAGCACCATGGCTCAAAGCCAGGGTTTTCTGAATCCTCATGTCCCATCCACCTCCCCTCTAACCTTCTGTGCTGTCTTCTTCCAGCAACAGGTGGGGGCAGCACCACCAAGCTCCCCCTCCCAGGAGCTGGGAAATCCAACATGGGTGCCCGTGGCTTACCCTGCCATCTGGCGGTGTCAGCGTCTGCCTTCCAGATTATGACATAACAATTGCACAACTCAGATATTTTGAAAGAAACTGTCAATTTCCTCTCCTGGGCACTGCCAGGGGTTGTGGCCTCCATCCCACCCCAAGTCCCTAACAGCCTCAGGACTCTAGAAGCCAAATATAGTCAAGGGTTGGACTGATAAGGAAATGAAAATGCAAGACTGTAAAGTGACCCAGTTTTATTTTGTTTTTTGGAGGCCAGATGGGGCATCGCTCCACTCTGCAGGGGCTGTATGTACAATCTTCCCCTCCCCAAGGCGGGAGGCCCATAGACCTCAGGGCCCAGGCAGCGGGAGTAGAGGTCCCAGTAAATGCGCAGCTCCAGGGACCCAGTGACCCAAAGGAGAGAGGGGGAACCAGGCAGAGGCCTGGAATGGCTCAGATTGGGGGAGAGAGGGGGGACAGTCGAGAGGAGAGGACACAGAATCCAAGAACATGGAGTCCGAAGGGGATCCAGTGCCCTTTTTACCGATGAGGCTCCTGGTCAGAGAAGCGATGCCAAACTCTCATCCAGCAGGAGGCAGGGCGGGAGTGGCGCCAGGTGTCCCAGCCGGCGTTAACTCCGTGCACTGGCCCGCTGCCTCCACCCTCACGGAGGGTGCGTGCGAGCCCAGACGCTGGGTGAGCAGTCTGGCGGGCAGGCTCCCTTCTCCTCTCGGGCGCACCAAGGAAGCGGTGGGCCGCGCTCAGCAGCTCACAGAGCCGGCGGGCGGCCCAGACCCCAAGTCCGAGAAGCAGTCGAACTCGCTCTGGCCCAGGAAGAGCTCGGGCAGCTCGCGCACGCGGTGCAATCCGAGTTCGAGCTCCAGCGACGTCAGCGCCTCCTCGTCGATGAGTTCGGCGTCCATGCCGCCCAGGGCGTGCACGGGCGGCGGCGGGGCCGGGGATCCCGGCGCCGGCTGCAGGCCCGGGGGACATCCCGGAGCGCCGGAGGGCGCGGTCGCGCGGCCGGGGTACATCGTCGTCACGGGCTGCAGGTGCGCGCTGCCGGCGGCCGCTGGCGGCCCAGCCGCAAAGGGCTGAAAGGCAGGCGGCGGCCCGAAAGCCCCGTACGGCAGGGCCCCCGGTTGGGGCGGCGGCGGGCCCAACGGAGCCCCCCGTGGCCGCAACCCGCTGTCCAAGCCCGCGCCCGCATACGGCTGCAGCGTCCGGAGCGCCTGGGGGCCGTGGGCGGGCACGGCGGGCGGCGGTCGCTGCACCAGGCGGTAACCTTCGGCGAGCATCAGGTGGTCGGTCATGACGGCGGGCTGGCTGCCTGCGGCGACGACGGGCGGACGGTCAGCGCAGGCGGCCGCCGGACCCGGCCAGCTGTTCTATTGCAACAAGAAATCCGGGTCCCTTGCTCTCCCCGCAACCCAGCCGGACAAAAGAAAACAGAACCGGACCACTGCTCTGCCTCTGCCCGGACGCACGAACTCAGAGCTCCCGTGCGCCCGTGGCCGCAACTCGCGGCGGCGAGGAGAACGCACCGCCCAGGGGTTCACGTTCAGAGACCTCTGCGCCGCGCCGGGTCCTCCGCGCCTTATATCCAGAGGCGGGGCTGCCGCGCTCCCGCGCGCTCATTGGCTGGATGAGGCGCGCCAGGGAAGACCGCGCCACCCCTCCGGGCGGTCTCAGCACCGCCCCCGTCGGAGCTCCGCCCTTTGGACCCCCAGCCGCGCTGCAGGCCAGAAGTGCTGCTCTGTGCTGGGTGTTCAGCACCTTTCGAGGGTCTTGGCCTGAATGTCCCAGGCTCAGCCTCGGTACTAGCTGGGCCCAAGCTGACCGGACCAGAGGTGTGGGCTCCCAGCTGCAGGATCACAAACCCAATCTCCTGATTTTTCAGGTGGAAGCCCAGGCTCAGTAGCAGAAGGGGTTTCCTTGGGAATACATAGCAGAGCCTTGACAGAAGTGACACCTGAACCCAGGCCTGGTGATTGCCATCACGGCTACCTTAGCAGTGCAGGGTCCTGCGGAAGGTCAGCTGCCTTCCCCATAACCCCAGGGAGCCAGTTGCCCCTTCTCTGGCTCTCACTGTCTGTGGAAGCATGTACTGAGTTGTTATTAAAGTAATTTATGGGCATGTCTCCTTGAAGGACTAGTTCATCTTCGTGACCTCAGCACTTGGCCCAGAGCCTGGCCCAGAGCAGGCTTTTGTAAAAGTTGCGTGAATAAACAAAACGATGGAATGAATTGCAGCTCATTCTCCTGAACTTCAGTCTCTTCATCTGTAAAATGGGGACGACAGCGGCTCCAGCCCCACTGGGCTGTTGGAGGGTTCAATGAGGCCATGTATGTGCAGTGCCCAGCACAGTGCCTAATACATAGCATCTCAAATGAATGAAAAGCCGGGTGTAGTTCTGTCCCTGGAGATCTGAGAGGGGGATGTTGCACCTTTCCTACATAATATAATAATAACTGAAATGTTTAGAGTGCTTTATATTCTACAAGCTTCTTGCTGGGAGCAGGGCATGGATTATCAACCCCATTTTGCAGATAAGGAGACGGAGTTAGCACGTGAATGCCTGTGTTCTTAAAGCAGCTGGAGTCTCTCCCAGTGAGTGGCCAGGAGACAGCCTCCCTGAACCTTGCTCTCCAGTTTGCCACTCTACCCCTCCCTCAGTTGCTCCCCTTCCCTGGTAGTGGCCTTGGACTTCCTGGAACTTGGGTTTATCCAGTTGGTGCAGCGGGGAGAGCCCTAGAGTGAGAGTCCAGAGGCCCTAGTTCTAATCATATCTCCACCACCTGCAGACAGTATGACCTTTGTGTGTTGGGAGGAGGGTGTCATGTGGTTCCCAGGGCCTCAGCTTTCTGTTTAGGGAAAGGGAGATTGCAATCCCTGCCTTGTCACCCCGAGACTTTGTGAGAAGGTCACAAGTGACTATAGGTGTGATCACATTTTTTGCGAAGTGTAAAAGTTGCAAACCAGGATTGATTGTCCTGAGTCTCTCTCCAGTTAAGGCCTCCCACAGAAATTCCTAAACCTGGCCACACCTCAGACTCACCTGGGATGTATGAGAGTGGAAGGGGAGGGGGCTTTGAAAAGTACCGAATCTCTGGCCCCACCCCACCTCACTCTCCTGACTCAGACTTTCTGAGGGTATTTTGAATAATAAGAATTTATACTTTTCAACAACAAGTAACCTTGTTGTTCTGACATAGTTGGTCCACTGACACCAACATTTGGGAGCCATTATACCACTATACAGTTTTCCTTGTTTAAAAAAAGTGTGTGTGAATAATGTTAAAAAAGCTCTTTAATTTAGTCAACAAATATTTTTTTTGAACAACTGTTTTATGCCAAGCATTGATCTGTTAGTGGTTTTTAAGGTTTCAGGATCAAGTAATTCTTTGAGAATCCAATGAAAGCTACAGACATCATGGTCACAAACTATTACATAGAAATTTGACTGGTTAGTAGCTCTCTGTGGGGTCATGGGACGGCTCAGAGATTCATGGAGTCTGGGTTAAGAACCCTTCTTAGGTACTTGGGGACATATAGTTAGCAAGGATATAAAAAAAATAATTATCCACATGTTTGAAAGGTGCAGGTACTATGGAAAAAAAAGGAGAAGTAGAGTAGGGAAGAGATTGGGGGTACAGGAGGTGGGTTGCAGTATTGCACAGGATGGTCAGAGTAGGCCTCACGGAGACCGTTTGGTTTGAGCAAAGACTTGAAGGAGGAGGAGGTATTAGTCACATGGTGTTTGGGCCAGAGTGGTCCTAGCAGAGGGAACACTGGACTGTGCTTGTCAAATTGTAGTACCAAGGACCTTGTTAGAAATGGGCATTCTGGGACCCCACCCCAGAATGAATCAACTTCTGGATCAGTAGCTGGGCTGAGGCTCAGCTATCTGCGCTTTAATAAGCCCTGCAGGTGATTCTGAGTTAGAGTAACGTCTCAAGGCAGGTGTAACAGCCATGGGGGAGTGTGGCTGGAGAAGGGGGAGCTTGGAAGTGGTGGAGGTGTGTGTGTGTGTGTAGGAGGAGTGAGGAGCATCAGGAGGGGCCTTATAGGGCCCTGTAGGAACTTTGGCAGAGGAATGGCATGGTCTAAGTCAGTGGTTCTCAACCTTCTGGCCCTTTAAATATAGTTCCTCATGTTGTGACCCCAACCATAAAATTATTTTCGTTGCTACTTCATAACCGTAATGTTGCTACTGTTATGAATCATAATGGAAATTTCTGATATGCAGGATGGTCTTAGGCGACCCCTGTGAAAGGGTCGTTCCACTGCCAAAGGGGTCACGACCCACAGGTTGAGAACCACTGGCTAAGTTATGCTGTGCCAGAATTGCTCAGATTGGATCCTACCTGTTCCTAGCATTTCCGGGACTGTTTCCTTACTCAGCCTGAACTGCCCAGGCACATTCATTTCTCGGGGCTCCTGCTGTTTCCTTGCTTGGAATGCTCTTTCCCAAACATCCACATGATTCACCCCTTCCTTTGTTCAGAACTCTATCTAAAAGTCACGTCCTCAGAGCGACCTTCCCTGACCAGCCCTCTCTGTCCCTTCACCCTGCTCCGCTTTCCCTCCACCGCTGTTATTTCAAAGAATGTCTCCTCACGAGCAGCTCAGGTCCCTGAGAACAGAGGCCTTGACTGCCATGCACAAGTGTTTTGCACGGTATTTCTAAGGCATCAGAACAGTGCTGGCACATGCTAGGGACTTTACGCATCTGTTGATGAATAAATTAGGCAGAGTAGAAGTTATTATCCTTTTTGACAAAAAGCAAACCAAGGTCTTGAAAACAATTCAGGAAGTTGGCTGAGGTCACAAGGTGTGTGGTGGAGCAGGATCAAACCCAGCGTTTATAGTTCTAGGGACACAGTGCTGCCCACTGACCCAAGCTGCTTTCGCCTGGACCCAAGTCTTTATGAGCCCATTGGGTTGGCGAGGGGTGATGCCCTTGAGTCCGCCTGGCATCACTTGACAGGGCCACACTAGTGCGTGGACCAGGTGACACTGAGAGGTCCTAGGGACAGTTTTGTGCCACCGCCTGAGGATGCAGTACTTCCTGCCCCTTTCTGATGTCCAGTCCCCTTTCTTGAGGACAAACAGAAGGATCCACCCCAAGTGGCTTCTGCCTCTCCCACAGATCCTGGTTGGCAGGATCTCTTGGGTTTCACTCTTGCTGACAGGCCCATTTCCAGTAACCAATACAAAACAAGGCTCACACAGGGCTCAGCAAATACTCGTCCATGGATTGACTGGGACTGAGCAGTCAGAAGAGGTACCTGGGAAGACCTAGCTCTAGAAACTCTGAGCTGGCTCCCCAGTCCCTGGTTGAGCCTCACCTACCCTAGCAGCTTGGCAGACTTGACACTTAAACCTGGGACTTGAACCTGAGGCCCAGGCTCTGACCGGCAGGCAAAGTTTGTCTCTCTGCAGCTTTTTCTTTAGATTACAGAGGAGGCAAGAAGTTTCTACCAGATCCCTGAAGGGCCATGCCCTCCAGCAGCCCCCAGCTGATGATTTGCAGCAATGTACGTGATGCCCAGATGGCAAACGTGAGGCTACTGTCTGGATTGTAATAAGAATATTAACTAATGTTTTATTGAATATTTACTATGTACCAGCCACGGGCTGGGTGATTTACATGTATTATCTTATTTGATCCTCATAAGAAAACTGTGAGTAGTTACGTCTATCATTCCTATTTCACAGACAAGGGAAACCAGAACTCTGAGAGGGAAGTGACTTGCCCAAGGTCATGCAGCTGGGAATGGAGGAAGGGAGTGTAGTAGCCCCGCTAGTTGTTCCCAGTGTTCCCGCTCTCCTTCGTCTTTACCAGCGTGCCAGGTAAGCTCTACTTCAAGGGCTCCAGCTGCTTCCCTTGCCCAGAACACCCTCCTCTCCACCACTATATCTGCTTGGCTGATTCCCTCACCTCCTTCAAGTCTTTGCTTAAGTAGGACCTTTCTTTTATCTTGACTCTCCTATTTCATTGTAGTGGTTTCCAAAAATATCCTCAAATTCTTTCATACTCATTCTTAAACTCTCTTCTCCTTAAATGTGGGCTGGACATAGTGACTCACTTTGAACAAATGGAATATAGCAGAAGTGATAGTGTCATTTCCAAGACTAGGTCATAAAAGGTAGTGTGAGTTTCTCCTTGCTCTCTCTCTCTTGAATCATTTGCTCTGGTGAAGCGAAGACACTCAAGGATCCCTATGGAGGTGCCCACATGGCAAGAAACCAAGCCTCTTGCCAACAGCCAGTGAGAAACTAAGGCCTTTTGCCAATAGCCGTATGTGTGAGCCATCTCAGAAGCAGACTTTCCAGCCCCGGTCAAGCTTTCAGATGACCATGCACCAGCTGGCATCTGCTTTGCAACTTTGTGAGTGACCTTGAGCCAGAATGACCTAACTAAGGCATTCTTAGATTCCTGACCCACAGAAACTGAGATATAAATACTTGTTGTTTTAAGCTGCTAAGTTTTGTAGTGATTTGTTACACAGCAATAGATAACTAATACATTAATACAGCAACCGGTCTCCGTTTCATCCCCCATATGGGCCTTCCTTTGCTCTACTT